AAGTGGCCCTTGGGGAAATTAAGCAAAGTCCCTCCGGTCCAATCGGCAAACTCCAGATTCGTATATTAAGCACGGTGGCGGAATAATTCTAGTTATCGTTTGCGGATGCATAATATTTACCGAAAAAAAAAAATAATTTTATAGAAAAATGAAAATCATGCGCGTTTAACGTTTTGTTCTTCCTAGTGGCACGGAATTCCATCTTCCAGCATCCAGTTGCCGCTAATAGCGACTCCCTTTCGGACCGTCTCGACGCTCTTCGTCCGGTTCACGTGCCGAATCACGTGCGTTTCTTATACATACGCCGGGTTGTTTTTTTGTGTGATTAACTTTGGACTTTAATGTAGTTTATTCTTCACAGGTTAGTAAAGATTTTTCTATGAAAACTTACTCGTTGCCATAAATTCTACTACAAGATAATTACTCCTGATTGGATTTATGAAAGCATTATATTTTATGGAAAACGTCGCATTGGTTTCCAGATAATATTCTCCTTTGTGTGGATTTATTTACCGAACATCTTCCATAGGGGGATAAACAGGGATACGTGAAGCGTTTAGAAACGATAATATTTTACTACAAAAATATCTGCATAGAATTTTGAGATAAAACATAGTAATAGAATCAATTGATTATTTTGGCTTAATGTAAAATTACAGCAATAATTTAGCCTAATAGACAAAAACAAGCTAATCCCATTATAAATAAATAAATCAACTATATACATATTTACACATAATTTCGTTTTCCCAAAATTTAATTGCGTATATATAGTTTGATTTCAATTCAACATCAAATATATTGGATTTTGTTTGACATAATTAATTCGTACCAGGGCCTACAAATTGAGTTTTTAAAATTCAATTATGCGTGTGCCTATATAAAAATTACTCTGTTATAGAGTACCAAAATTGCTTCTGCATTTCGCCTCTAAAAGCCAGTAGAGGCATCTGTCGTTAGGGGCCGTTTAGCGGAATAATCCCCTTAACGAGAGCCTGGCATGCTACTGCTACAAAATTACCCCTTAGAAGAGGCCGAAATTAAGTAAAAGATGAGAAATTGCCAATAAAACCCTAATGATCTTACTGCCGGATGTTTTTCGGAATCATATAAAATTGACTATTAAAGCTAGTCTAACAATAACCATACTATATTACACAGCGATTTTGGCTAAGAGATTTCAAATATCTACAATCAAGTGACGATTTATCTCTATTAGCAGTTAAAATCGGTTACGAAATATATTTCGAACTAATGCGGCGCCGTCCGAAAAACACAACTTTTGCCCGAGAGGTGCAATTATCTCCGAACATCGTTTGTCACATTTTGGCCGCTCCGTATTTCGGCAAAATGTACATTATACTATACACGAGCGACCGGAAAAGTACATTATCGACATATTTCGCAACGGATATTGGCGGTTATTATTGTCATACCTTATCGGTTTTTTTAATTGGATTTGTAGCTTAATGATGAGAATTGTCTAAATTTAGTAAGGACTCTATTAGACAGTGAATGGAAGCTGGGTAATCCAATGACAACAAAACAGAAAACAGTAAAGGTGGTGCTGGTAGAGCCGAAACGAGACGACGCAACCAGTTATACGACAACGAAAGGAAGACAGAATAAATTTGGCGCCCGAGCAGGGACCCAAATATATTGACGTCAGCATAAGACCGAGACGAAGACAGACCTAGACGAAAACAAAACTCCACGCCCAGTGATGAAACATGCGGAAACTCAAACAGACAACCACAGGTGACAGCTTGGAACAATTATAACAATAGTTGCAATATAATAAAAGGAATAGAAATCTTCGAAAAATGGCAGGACATTGCCTCGAAAAAATGGAGAGAGGATATCTTCAAACATGCAGAGATTCAGGTGAGAACCTGCCAGAAAGTAATAAAAATATGGGAGAAGATGTTAAGACTTAAAGAAGAGACCAAAGACGACGAATGGATCGCGTTGCACCACATCGCAGGATACAACAGTACAAAAATATTAAGAAAAATGTATTTCGAATCAAGACGCCGCAAACAGTTATATATATAACAACGAAAGGGAGACAGAACAAATTTGGCGCCCGAGCAGGGACCCAACACAATGACCAAGCGATTTTGTCATCATCAGTCCTCAATTTCTGCGAGAGGCCGTTTGCTTTGGCAACCACCGTAGATCGTACCGTTGTGATGTAATTATCAGACCGCATATCGCTGGAGCGAATGAACCGCTCCTTTTGGACCGTTCCGTGTGTGCCTTATCGTCCGCCCCATATATTGGAGATCTTAACCAATGACAGTTCCTATTGTATTTCGTATCATATTGGACCGAAGTTCTCGGTAAACGCATGCGCAAACAATATTTGTTTTGAAACTTCGCCCATTTTCGAGTAGACCGAGGTCGCTGATATCATTTTGTTTACTCCCTTCTGGAAATTTCCCCGTTGATGTAGTATCTTCTAAGAGTTGTTATATTTCTTAATCAGTCCGAAATTTTAGAGACTTGAACGAATAGTAAACGAGGAAAGGTAGAGTGTGCGCATCAGCCGTCATTTAAGTAGAATCGCACCATCTGTTGCTGGTAAATCGCTGCCCACTTCTCCAAAAATATGGCGTTCGCACTATAATTTTTTTCCGGGAGATAGAGGATAGTGAGGAGCTTATCATAATAAAATTTCAAACTTTTCAGTGAAAAATTACTTGAAAATTAGAAATTTTACAATCAAAATTATCTAAAAAACTCTCAAGCCTTGTACTTCAAACGATAGAATCAAATTCCAAACAATTTCTTGACGTATATTGATAGATTTTGAGCTGATTCTCAATTTAAAATAAATAGCAACTGGCTAGCTTGAATCGTTCAAAAGTTATGTCTATTTTAATATGAGTGAAGACTAAAATCTATGTTTGTCATTAGAAAACTCTCAAACCTTGTACTTCAAACGATAGAAGCAAATTCCTAACAATTTCTTGACATATAGTGCTATATTTTGAGCTGATTTTTGATTTAAAATAAACCCCAACTCGCTAGCTTGAGTCGTTCAAAAGTTATGTACATTTTAAAACGAGTCAAGACTAAAATCGTATGTTTGCCATTAGAAAACACTCAAGCCTTGTACTTGGAACAATAGAAGCAAATTCCAAACAATTTCTTGACGTATACTGATAGAATTTGAGCTGATTTTTAATTTAAAATAAACCGCAACTCGCTAGCTTGCATCGTTCAAAAGTTCTGACCATTTTAAAACGAGTGAAGACTAAAATCTTATGTTTGCCATTAGAAAACTCTCAAGCCTTGTACTTCAAATGATAAGAGCAAATCCCAAATATTTTCTTGAAGTATGTTGATATATTTTGAGCTGATTTTTAATTTAAAATAAACCGCAATCCGCTAGCTTGCATTGTTCAAAAGTTATGGCCATTTTAAACGAGTGAAGACTTAAATATTGTGTTTGCCATTAGAAAACTCTCAAGCCTTGTACTTCAAACGATAGAAGCAAATTCCAAACAATTTCTTGACATATATTGATATATTTTGAGCTGATTTTCAATTTAAAATAAACCGCAACTCGCTAGCTTGAATCGTTCAAAAGTTATGACCATTTTAAAACGAGTGAAGACTAAAATCTTAAGTTTACCATTAGAAAACTATCAAGTCTTGTACAGTTCTGACCGAGCCTCCAGCCCGAGAACACTCAATCCGCAGATTGTTAAGTTGTACACCAAGCTCTACCGCCAGAGTTTTGACCGAGCTACCAGCCCCAGAACACGTAATCCGCAGAGTATTAGGCTGGAACCAAAGCTCGAAGACTTTCAACTGTACCGCCAGAAAAGAGATTCGACAGTCAAAAGTTACTTCATTTCCAACCGCACTACCTAGTGTAAGCCGTAGACCTGCTGTAAGGAAACCGCTGAAAAGTGAAAACCGTTGTCGATTAACCTCCTCCTGTATTTCGCTACCGTTGCAACAATGGAAACCCACCGGTGTCTTAGGGAACCGTATGGGACACAAAATATTCCTTATTTCATAAAGATAATACCTAATGGTATTTGAGTTTTAGGGGACCATAAGAATGTTTACCGAAGAGGAGGGGGTGTGTAACGAAGTTACACCATCATGCAGGCTGAAATAGTTGCGATAACAACATGCGCGGAGATCATCTTGAGAGAGACAATTCCTTATCTGACGGTCTGGATTAGGAGCGATAGCCAAGCAGCTCTTAAGCAAGCACCACGTCGAAAACAGTAAAACACTGCTAAAAAACTGTGGCTGAACTAGCAAAAACTACAAGATGGTCTTTGAATGGGTGCCAGGACACGCTGGGATTGAAGGAAATGAAAAAGTTGATCTTCTCGCAAGAGAAGGATCAGAGAAAACCCTAATTGGACCCCTGCCCACATGCGTAATATCATATTAACATGTAAGAGGCAAACTGGAAGAACAGTTAACAAAGTTACATAAAAAAAACTGTATGGAAGGAATATCTAAGAGCAGAACAGAAGAACTGTTAAGCTTATGCAGGAGACAATTGAGAGATGTGGTTGTATTGTTTCCCAGTTTCCCAGCGGGTACTGAGGTCCCATACGAGAAGCTACTCAGCTATAGTTGTTTTTGAGCCAATATCTCTAGATTGATTATTTCAATTTGTTTGCTAAGATATTCGCTCGTCAGGGTAAGAAAATGTTAGTAAATTCGACAAGGCCCTAATGTACCGAATGATTTTCTATATTTTGCACCCACACTTATCACACCTGTTTGAAGAGATACCCAGAAATGTCAATTGTGGAAGTTGTAGGTAATATCAGAAAGTTTCCAATGATGTTAGTTACCTAGCAGAAGACTCGCTGTGCAACCGATATCAATAAATGCTGCCAGGGTGCACATCTTCCAATCCAGAGACTGTTCAATCCTACACACGACTGCGTGGAGAGCAGTCTCCGTGGATTTCTCTGGTAAATATGCATGTTGGGAGAGAGATGCCTTGTCTGTAATTCTCACTAAAAACGCTTGTCTCTGGAGATGTTAATCCTTCTTCTCCTGATCACATAGTGCCATTTGGGCTCCCAAATGCCCCCGTAACCTTTCAAAGAGGAATGCCTCGTCTGTCTGGAATAGTCTAAATTTTAAATTATTACCAGTTCCTGATGCACTGGACAATCTGCCCCTTATTCCAGCAACTCAAGAGCTGACTTGTGTGTCCGCACACCCCAAGAGAGAATAGAAGTACAAATAAAGTTTTCAGTTGCACACGCATCATTATCTGCACTAATATATGTGCAAAATGCACAAACAAAGTTATACAATAAAACTTTTAGTATTTGAGGAAACCGTCAAGGGGATTTCTCGTGACGGATCGTCCGTAAAACGAGATTTGTCACGAGCAACGGCCCATGTAGACTCCTTATTTTATCCGACTTCAACAAGCACCATCGTACATTATTTATCCTTTGTATATTTGTCTACCTAATACCAAAGTCTAGTGAATTTAATTAGTAATTTCTCTAATTGGCTCCAACATAATATTTTGTTTTTGTGCCCCCCGACATTGTAATTACCGCAATTATATTGTGATTGTTCGATTTGACTAGAATAGTTTTAATTGGAAATATTTACTACAATCAATTTTAATTGGGATTTATTTTTAGGATTTGATGCTTTTGTTAACATACATAAAACCACATAATAAATTATTGTACACAGCGATTGCGGCAAGAAGATTTCTAACTTTTCTATTTTTCCAACGAATTCTATTTGCTTTGAAACGTAGCGTAGCGTCCTCTGTCTATTTAGTTCAACAAATGGGATTATGATGAATAGCGACAGGCCGTCTGATAATTCTCTCATTATTTTCCTACGTAGATTGCTGTTTATTATTTGTCTTTTTCTCATATTATGTACAACTCGATCATTAATAAAGGAGTTATTCGGGCATATTGTGCATTTATGCATAATTTCCTTTATGTCCTTGCACTGTACTTCCTATAAGCGGAGGTACTTGAGCGTAAATAATGACTGCAATTACAAAACGTTGAACATAAGGCAAAAGGAATTTCTAGACTTATCATTTCAAAAAAATGCAAAAAGTTTTTCTAAATTATTAAATCAATAGTAACATAACGTTATCTTGAGGCTGCAGTCTGACAGCTTTTCAATGTCTTTTCTTTCTCTTGCCCTATTTGTCTTCCGAATAATGCGACCCTCCTTATTTAGTTTGATAATTGAAATTATGATGAATAGTGACAGTCCCTGGAAATATTCCCGTATAGTCCAATGTCCAAAATGCATTGCGGTAAAAGCTTCCTAAATAAAGAGATTCGCAAAGTATCGGGAAAATCGGATCGGCATAAAATTCGCAGTCATATATTTTTCACTTTGACTCAATTTTCACCTGACAAATCCATATACACCGAACACAAAAGGGTGGCCTCGGCACTAGCTCACGCGGTGTAAGCGTAAATTGGCATTAAGGCGGGACGGAAATGCAAATTGGAGGATTTAAGGTGGGATAACGTATCGGATTGTGTCTTTTGTACACCGTATATTTCTTGTAATTTGTAAACGATATTTAATACATTATGTTTCGAACGCGCTATCGCAATTTGAGGCTCTAATCCGATTAGCTTCAAAAGTTAATTGCTTTATTAATACTGCGAATACCTCTTTGTCGCTTAATTTTAATTAACTTTCGACGTGTTTTCTATACACAACTCTAACGATAATGATACACATTTCGTTGTAGTACAAAAAAAACACACTTTTCATACACCCCTCCGATTCAACTACGGTCTGATGTTGCCCCAAGAATCGGATCAGTGCGAAATCGGAAAAGGGAATGGGAAAATTTCAGATCAAAGGTGTCGCAGATCTAGAGATTTTCCCACGGTATCGAGTAACTTCCCCGGCTCAAGTGCCTCCGGCTATCAGACCAATACCTGATGGCTCTACTACTTAAATGGTCCACCAGATTCACAGATTTGGGGTTGGCCCGGGTCAAATTCCCAAAATTTCAGATTTCGATCTAGAGATTTTCCCACGATATCGAAAAACTTCCCCGGCTCAAGTGCCCCCAGCTATCAGACCTCTACTACGTGAATGGTCTACCAAATTCACACTTCTCTCATGGAAAATGGATCTCCGACAGATTTTCCTGAATTTTGGATATGCTGTAGTTCTATACACAACTCTAACGATAATGATACACATTTCATTGCAGTACAAAAAAAACAATATATTCGGTGTAATAATAAAACCCCTTTCTAGTTTCCATTAGAACAGTTACGCTGAATGTAAAACACTTTTCGGAACATCGGTACGAGCCAAGAATTCTAAAGCCAAAAGAAAAATTTATATACCGAGATTTCGGGTGAAATAAAAATATACTCAGTTATTAACGGCCGCCTCTGTTTGTATTATCTTAAAAAAGTACGTGTAGAGGTTAGAGAATTGAGTTGTAAAATTCAATGCTAAAAGCAAAACTATAAAATATAAAATTTGAATGGAAGCTCCTTTTTAAAACATCGGGGGTTATAAAAGCATACTCGTGTTATCTTTTGTCTAACTGAATTTTATTCTAAGACGCCCATACTTCATCGGTTCCTTTGTTGGATCAGATTCGCTTTTCTCTCGAGGAATATTACAGCTTCTTTACCTAGCTAAGACGGGCTTTGTTGTTTTGTAGTTTTTTTCCTATTAGCTACAAATTCTATGTCATAAATCCACACATTATCAACTGGAAAAAAGGAAACGATCCCGTGCGGTGTCGTGATGAAATATAGGTATCCTGAGATAACAGATAACAGAGCGGGCCTTTATACACTAAAAGAGTAAAATATGTTTTTCCAGTTTTGGTTTATTTTGCGAGCCAATTATAAATTCCTAATCCCTGAATGTAGAAATTCAAAAACCGCTGTCACCCTTAAGCGTGACAAAGACAAAAACCAAATTAATTGGTCGCAACGGAATCGGGAGGGATTTCAGTCTCTAATCCCCAAAAAACATGCTGTCCTCGTTAATACCGATATGTAAATTGTAATTTTTTTTTTGTTTGTTCAAGGGATGGATAGCCGTCACCACTGGAAGGCGATTCTACAAGTGACAGTTTTCTATTTTTATTTTATCGGTAAGTTACATAAAACCAAATTACTTGTCGTCGAAGTTTGCCGAAAGAAGATTTATGCAGGCAGATGCAACAAATGTAGCAGAAATTAATCGCCCTGGCAATTTGTTTTACGGAGAGAAAATCGAATAAATTGCGTGACACAAGTTTATCTTTTAAGCTGGATTCAGATGGAACGCGCACTAAAACATTTCAAGCGCAATTCATAATACTATACGTAGTAGTGACATCTTAACATGGGCCATGGGAGGTGAGCTGCTCGTGGGGGGATGAATCAGAGGAGTGAATCCGTCATTGACTTGACCAAAATAAGGCCGGAACATACTTGTCTTTTGCCCTAAGAATCGGATCGGTGCAGGATCGGAAAAGGGAAAGGGGGAAATTTCAGATCAAAGGCGCCGCCGATCTATAGATTTTCCCACGGTTTCGAAAAACTTCCCAGGCTCAAGTGCCCCCAGCTATCAGACCAATACCCACCTCTACTACCCAAAAGAGGTGTGCGGGGTCCTAAATAGGCCGTCAAGATTTTTCGACGTTTGTACTAGGGTTGCTGCATTTACCAAGGTTGCTGCGTTTTTAATTTAGGATGGATTAAATGGAAATTAATGACAATTGGAGCTCCAAAAACTAGGCCTACTTTAAAACGTCGGTTTTTTGACGTTTGTTGAAACGTTTTTTTTTTGTGATTGTAGCCCTTGATGAGGGCTTTCAAATGGTACTTGGTTGAAGTCGCTGGCATTTACGGTTTTTGAAAAAATCGAGTTTGAAGTTTTTGACCAAATTTCAACTAAAATCCAACTTTGAGGCTCAATTGCTCTAAAAGTATTAGAGTTATCAAACTCTGTCTAGCACTGATTTATAGAGAATTTGATACTCTTTCCAACCATATATAATTTATTTTTATTTGCTCAAAGTTTAATAGAAGTATTGGCAATTACTCCTAACCTTGTCAGGATTTAAAAAAAATTTAAACCTAAAAATTGAGATTTTCTTTTTAATTTTTCTCTGTGTTGAAATCAAGATTTTGTATTGATGTTAGAGTTTTTTTCTACTAATTTAGACCCGCTCTATCGATTGGAAAAGTCAAAATTCAAAAACTCTGAAAAATAAAAATTTCGACTTTTTCAAAGGGTGAAATTTCACCAGACCTAGCATCATTAGCTGAATGGAAAATACACTTTGATGGTCCACCAGATTCACAAGCAAAATATGTCTCCCATCATTGCTTTCAATGTAAGAATATTTGACGATACGGTAACGTGACAGTACCGGTACGAATAGTATAAATCGCGCCTCACTCGGTAAAAGGTTGAGGTTAATTTTTATCACAATTACGACCCTAATGGTTAAATTAAGACGTGTACGACATAATGGAAAAAAAGTTGGGGTACGTGTTTCAGGAGATTCTCCTCCGCCTGCGAAATAAAGGCGACAGCCAGAAAAACTATCATCACTCTCTCGGCCTGCCTGCTGCTGCTTGTACAGACGTGACTTTGCAACTTTGGCAATCGCCCTCGTCGCATTAATCATACACACCGGGAAAATGGGGGAGCTCTCTATGTACTTCATTAAAAATGTCCTTTAATGATAATTGATATTTCAGTCAATTAACAACACCAGTCTTCATTTAAATTTAACCAAAAGTATTCCAATATCTGAGTCAGGTGCAGTAGATTGATGTGAAACTAGTGTAAATTTTAATGGTTCCTATTCCGGATGCAACAGTCATTTCCCCATTATAGGTCGTAATCCGAGCCCGGCCGGGAGTCTTATATGTAGAGCAAGGAAAGCTCCGACATCTGTCTCCAATTTTATAGATGACAAGAAGGTAATTTCTTCAGTTACGAGCGCACAGCCTGGCACCCTTATACGATTCGGGTTTGTTTTAAAAATCTAGTTCGAGGTTAATCAAATTTTTAAGTGTTGTTTATGAAAATTTAAATTTCCAAGTTTCTTTGCCCGATGGATTCGACGATAAAAGTACAATGGAAACCCATTTAGTTTGGCAAAGGCCTGAGGACTTTCGTTGACCAGAATGCAAAAACTTTTGCTCCTTTCTCTCCGAGACTAAAACTAACCCCCATTCAGTGAAAAAGTTTTTCTGTTGCTTCTGTTTTTATAGGAAAGTAATTGGAATGAATAATGTACGGGAAAATAGTTATTTGTTTTAGTACTAAGCAGAAAAGTACGAGATTTAATGCCGCGGCTGGTGTTTCAGGAAACCAGCCAAGGCAAAATATTGAGCGGAGAACCACGCAACTTTCTCTAACAACACCAAACAAAAATCGAAAAGATCTGTAGGGTCATGATAACTTAGTTGGTTAGACCGTAGCACCGGCAATGCTGAGGACGCAGGTTGGAATCCCGCCCAAGACCAAATTTTTTAATCCTCCAATTTTCCTCAAACTCTCTCTTCATTTTCAATTTCCACGCTTTTCAGTTGTTGTAACGTAACCGACAAAACTTCATCCTTATTCACGGTTTTTGAAAAAATCGAGTTTGAAGTTTTTGACCAAATTTCAACTAAAATCCAACTTTGAGGCTCAATTGCTCTAAAAGTATTTGATTTATCAAACTCAATCTAGCACTGATTTATAGAGAATTTGATGCTCTTAACAACCATATATAATTTATTTTGATTTGCTCAAAATTTAATAGAAGTATTGGCAATTACTCCTAACCTTGTCAGGATTTTAAAAAAAAAACCTAAAAATTGAGATTTTCTTTTTAATTTTGCTCTGTGTTAAAATCAAGATTTTGTAATGATGTTAGAGTTTTTTTCGATTGATTTAGACTCGCTCTATCGATTGGAAAAGTCAAAATTCAAAAAATCTGAAAAATAGAAATTTCGATTGGAATTTAATTTCAAAATTTTCAAACTCAGTTTTCTCGAAACCCGTCAAAGATTTTGGATCATTTTGAGATTGTAGCCCTTGATGAGGGCTTCAAAATGGTACTTAGTTGAAGTCGCTGGCATTCACGGTTTTTGAGAAAATCGAGTTTGAAATTTTTGACCAAATTTCAACTAAAATCCAATTTTGAGACTCAATTGCTCTAAAAGTATTTGAGTTATCAAACTCAATCTGGCACTTATTTATAGAGAATTTGATGCTCTTTCCAATCATATATAATTTATTTTGATTTGCTCAAAATTTAATAGAAGTATTGGCAATTGCTCCTAACCTTGTCAGGATTCAAAAAAAATTTAAACCTAAAAATTGAGATTTTCCTTTTAATTTTGCTCTGTGTTAAAATCAAGATTTTGTAATGATGTTAGAGTTTTTTTCGATTGATTTAGACTCGCTCTATCGATTGGAAAAGTCAAAATTCAAAAAATCTGAAAAATAGAAATTTCGATTGGAATTTAATTTCAAAATTTTCAAACTCAGTTTTCTCGAAACCCGTCAAAGATTTTGGATCATTTTGAGATTGTAGCCCTTGATGAGGGCTTCAAAATGGTACTTAGTTGAAGTCGCTGGCATTCACGGTTTTTGAGAAAATCGAGTTTGAAATTTTTGACCAAATTTCAACTGAAATCCAATTTTAAGACTCAATTGCTCTAAAAGTATTTGAGTTAGCAAACTCAATCTGGCACTTATTTATAGAGAATTTGATGCTCTTTCCAACCATATATAATTTATTTTTATTTGCTCAAAATTTAATAGAAGTATTGGCAATTGCTCCTAACCTTGTCAGGATTCAAAAAAAATTTAAACCTAAAAATTGAGATTTTCTTTTTAATTTTGCTCTGTGTTAAAATCAAGATTTTGTAATGATGTTAGAGTTTTTTTCGACGAATTTAGACCCGCTCTATGGATTGGAAAAGTCAAAATTCAAAAACTCTGAAAAATAAAAATTTCGATTTTTTCAAAGCCCTTTGGATTTTAATTTCAAAATTTTCAAACTCAATTTTCTCGAAACCCGTCAAAGATTTTGGATCAATTTTTTTTGAGATTGTAGCCCTTGATGAGGGCTTCAAAATGGTTTTTAGTTGAAGTCTCTGGCATTTACGGTTTTTGAGAAAATCGAGTTTGAAGTTTTTGACCAAATTTCAACTAAAATCCAACTTTGAGGCTCAATTGCTCTAAAAGTATTTGAGTTATCAAACTCAATCTAGCACTGATTTATAGAGAATTTGATGCTCTTTCCAACCATATATAATTTATTTTGATTTGCTCAAAATTTAATAGAAGTATTGGCAATTGCTCCTAACCTTGTCAGGATTCAAAAAAAATTTAAATCTAAAAATTGAGATTTTCTATTTAATTTTGCTCTGTGTTAAAATCAAGATTTTGTAACGATGTTAGAGTTTTTTTCGACTAATTTTGACCCGCTCTATCGATTGGAAAAGTCAAAATTCAAAAACTCTGAAAAATAAAAATTTCGACTTTTTCAAAGGGTGAAATTTTATCAGACCTAGCATCATTAACTCTCTCTTCATTTTCAATTTCCACGCTTTTCGGTTGTTGTAACGTAACCGATAAAACTTCATCCTTACCATGTATATAATAATACACCTTTTGAGCGTGTCAAGTATAAATAAAAAGTCGCTTTTACTGTCATTCGAAAATAAATTTATTTTATTCAATTAATCTCCAAGCCCTGTACTACAGCACTCGTAAAGCCTAGGATCGTTAAGCCCCATACCCTGTATTACAGCACTCATAAAACCTAGCAAACCTAGGATCATTCACATCTCTGACCGGTGCAGCATTTCCATTATAAGCCCTGCCAGTTGTAGATGCAGCGTACGGTGCAGCGACATTGAAAACTGGATCCAACTTCGAGTTTTTGATAATAACTTGACCGTTTCTCGGTTGCCCGGCGTCCCAGGTTCTGGCCAAAAAGCCGTGATGCGTCGCGAAAAACGCAGGATCTCCAGTTATGGTACTACCAATCACCAAAAATCCGAATTTATGGTCCGGAGTGCTAGGCGCAAATATTACTCCCGTGTCCGATCTGCGGTCAGCCTTGAGATGAAAAACGCATCCGACGAATACGGCCGAAGCGGAGCCGAAGACAAAATCTATGTCACCTTCTATGTAAACATTTTGGAAATAATTTCTCAATATCCTCGCTGTACTAGTTCCGACATTTCAATGTATCTTGATGTCCCAACAGTTTGCAATTTCTTACTTGGACACGATCGGCTTCGATGGTGAGGGCTACCGCTTGATCACTACCAGGCCTTTTCGAAAAATTTTCAATGGTCAAATGGATAAATTCCACGCCGTCCGCATCTACCCGAAGCACATTGGAACAACTGGTTCCAATAATCGGTCTGCTTGCGCACGAGGCGAAAATACCATGAGCGGTACTGGCTGGAGGGAAGAATTTACCCACAAGTGCCCCATAACTACCTCCAGTGGTTGCTGGTGATAGATCAAATGTTATAAATATGGTAGCTTCTGAACTTCCGTAAATAGTCAATGGCACTCTTGTGGGTGGAATATAAGCAACTTGTTGGTATCTGCCTGGATTGATGTAAATATACTTTCTCGTTGGGGAATTTGTCCTAATGGCTGCATCTATAGCTTCCTGGAGGGTACCAAAGCCTCCGGGTGCGCCTACTTTGAAATCAGCAGGCCTTAGTATTGGAGTCGGAGGAGCCCACCCTTGAAGGAAGGAGGCTGGAGTGAAAGCGGCAGCTTCCCTTGGGTTCAGAATTGGTCTTAAGCGGGTGCCAGGAGGGGTCTGGTTCGCTTCTGAGCAGGCCGCAATGAATAAAATAGCTGCGAAAATCGATTTGTAAAGCGGGATGAATTATTTTAATTTTGCACTTACCTAGTATTGACTTCATCTTGTTGCACTATGATTTGTATTGAGTTTCAGCCTGCATTTATACTAGTTTGTTATCGCGAGGGAAAAAACTTAAGATTTTAACAGAAATTGGTAATTTCCATTTGCTTGGATACAACTAAACGAGCAACTAAATCACCTTTTTTTTTGTTGCTGATAAAAATTTATTAGATCATGTTTTATTTATGGGTTTTTTGAGTCTTTTCGAGAGAGGAAAATACATTTTTGATGCGAACTTTTCATCGCCACAGGGAAATACTTTGCTTTAAAACTCGGTAATGCAAAAGTTTTTCCTTTATATTTTTATTTAAAAAAAAAAAAATCTTTTTTTTTTCTCTGTCTTTGCGCGAATTAATTATATTTTAAGCTGATCAATGATGCTAGTCTCTCATCTTGTCTCAGAAACAAGATTTCAATTGATAAATTTTGTAATTTTAAAGTCACTGTGAGAGGATTTGCAATGGAATAATTCTTCTTGGCTCGGTTTAAATTTCAAATTAAAAAATATTTAACGATATTCATTCTAATATCAATCAAAATAGCGTTTGAAAATTGTTTGCCAATTGCATAAGTAAACAGAAATTTCAAATTTAAATTTTCAAGCTATAATAAAAAGGAATTAAAATTTTCTGACTGTGTATAGTTTTGAATGGGCTTTTCCACTAAATTCTGAAATTGGTATATAAAAGCCATCTTAACATAGATTCAGGGAATATTTACAACTTTCTTCTACCTGTAAAGGTAAAGGCTGTAAGTGGGGTGTCAATATATAAAAAAACACTCTGTACAAATAAGTGGATTATAGCGGAACTTATGGGTGAACCTCTGCGGGACGAGCGTAGCGAGTTCCGCAGCCATCTACTCATACTATTTAACTGTTCAAGTAAGACATTTACCTAAAACGTGTAGTTTTTAAACTAATGAGAATAATTCACATTTGAGTGAATCAGGTTAGTATCGTAATTAAACAATATATTGATGAATAGATGGCTGCGGTCCTACTGGTCCTACTGGTCCCTCGTGATACCCTGAACTCCATACACAAAATTATTCTCAGATTTGAAGCCGAAATCTATGGAAAAAGGCACTCAGAAAAATTGAAAAATTGATAAATCATCCCAATTGCTTAACACGATTTTATCTCAGGAACTATAAGTGCAAATGAGCTGAAATTTTCAGGGATTGTAGTCCTTTGAAAATGATGAAATTCAGTGAAAGATTCAGCTTTCTATCTATAATAGAAAAAAAGTTACGACCATTGAAAGTTTTCCGAAAAAATCATAAGGGGGGTACCTTCTTACTAAAATGATGAAATTTCAAATTTTTTTTTGTCGAGATTTTGGGTCTTACTGGTCCCTCGTGATACCCTGAACTCCATACACAAAATTATTCTCAGATTTGAAGCCGAAATCTATGGAAAAAGGCACTCAGAAAAATTGAAAAATTGATAAATCATCCCAATTGCTTAACACGATTTTATCTCAGGAACCATAAGTGCAAATGAGCTGAAATTTTCAGGGATTGTAGTCCTTTGAAAAGGATAAAATTCAGTGAAAGATTCAGCGTTCTATCTATAATAGAAAAAAAGTTACGACCATTGAAAGTTTTCCGAAAAAATCATAAGGGGGGTACCTTCTTACTAAAATGATGAAATTTCAAATTTTTTTTTGTCGAGATTTTGGGTCTTACTGGTCCCTCGTGATACCCTGAACTCCATACACAAAATTATTCTCAGATTTGAAGCCGAAATCTATGGAAAAAGGCACTCAGAAAAATTGAAAAATTGATAAATCATCCCAATTGCTTAACACGATTTTATCTCAGGAACCATAAGTGCAAATGAGCTGAAATTTTCAGGGATTGTAGTCCTTTGAAAAGGATAAAATTCAGTGAAAGATTCAGCGTTCTATCTATAATAGAAAAAAAGTTACGACCATTGAAAGTTTTCCGAAAAAATCATAAGGGGGGTACCTTCTTACTAAAATGATGAAATTTCAAATTTTTTTTTGTCGAGATTTTGGGTCCCACTGGTCCCTCGTGATACCCTGAACTCCATACACAAAATTATTCTCAGATTTGAAGCCGAAATCTATGGAAAAAGGCACTCAGAAAAATTGAAAAATTGATAAATCATCCCAATTGCTTAACACACGATTTTATCTCAGGAACCATAAGTGCAAATGAGCTGAAATTTTCAGGGATTGTAGTCCTTTGAAAGGGATAAAATTCAGTGAAAGATTCAGCGTTCTATCTATAATAGAAAAAAAGGTTACGACCATTGAAAGTTTTCCGAAAAAATCATAAGGGGGGGTACCTTCTTACTAAAATGATGAAATTTCAAATTTTTTTTTGTCGAGATTTTGGGTCCCACTGGTTCCTCGTGATACCCTGAACTCCATACACAAAATTATTCTCAGATTTGAAGCCGAAATCTATGGAAAAAGGCACTCAGAAAAATTGAAAAATTGATAAATCATCCCAATTGCTTAACACGATTTTATCCCAGGAACTATAAGTGCAAATGAGCTGATTTTTTCAGGGATTGTAGTCCTTTGAAAATGATGAAATTCAGTGAAAGATTCAGCTTTCTATCTATAATAGAAAAAAAGTTACGACCATTGAAAGTTTTCCGAAAAAATCATAAGGGGGGTACCTTCTTACTAAAATGATGAAATTTCAAATTTTTTTTTGTCGAGATTTTGGGTCTTACTGGTCCCCTCGTGATACCCTGAACTCCATACACAAAATTATTCTCAGATTTGAAGCCGAAATCTATGGAAAAAGGCACTCAGAAAAATTGAAAAATTGATAAATCATCCCCAATTGCTTAACACGATTTTATCCCAGGAACTATAAGTGCAAATGAGCTGATTTTTTCAGGGATTGTAGTCCTTTGAAAATGATGAAATTCAGTGAAAGATTCAGCTTTCTATCTATAATAGAAAAAAAGTTACGACCATTGAAAGTTTTCCGAAAAAATCATAAGGGGGGTACCTTCTTACTAAAATGATGAAATTTCAAATTTTTTTTTGTCGAGATTTTGGGTCTTACTGGTCCCTCGTGATACCCTGAACTCCATACACAAAATTATTCTCAGATTTGAAGCCGAAATCTATGGAAAAAGGCACTCAGAAAAATTGAAAAATTGATAAATCATCCCAATTGCTTAACACGATTTTATCTCAGGAACCATAAGTGCAAATGAGCTGAAATTTTCAGGGATTGTAGTCCTTTGAAAATGATGAAATTCAGTGAAAGATTCAGCTTTCTATCTATAATAGAAAAAAAAGTTACGACCATTGAAAGTTTTCCGAAAAAATCATAAGGGGGGTACCTTCTTACTAAAATGATGAAATTTCAAATTTTTTTTTGTCGAGATTTTGGGTCCCACTGGTCCCTCGTGATACCCTGAACTCCATACACAAAATTATTCTCAGATTTGAAGCCGAAATCTATGGAAAAAGGCACTCAGAAAAATTGAAAAATTGATAAATCATCCCAATTGCTTAACACGATTTTATCTCAGGAACTATAAGTGCAAATGAGCTGAAATTTTCAGGGATTGTAGTCCTTTGAAAATGATGAAATTCAGTGAAAGATTCAGCTTTCTATCTATAATAGAAAAAAAGTTACGACCATTGAAAGTTTTCCGAAAAAATCATAAGGGGGGTACCTTCTTACTAAAATGATGAAATTTCAAATTTTTTTTTGTCGAGATTTTGGGTCCCACTGGTCCCTCGTGATACCCTGAACTCCATACACAAAATTATTCTCAGATTTGAAGCCGAAATCTATGGAAAAAGGCACTCAGAAAAATTGAAAAATTGATAAATCATCCCAATTGCTTAACACGATTTTATCCCAGGAACTATAAAGTGCAAATGAGCTGATTTTTTCAGGGATTGTAGTCCTTTGAAAATGATGAAATTCAGTGAAAGATTCAGCTTTCTATCTATAATAGAAAAAAAGTTACGACCATTGAAAGTTTTCCGAAAAAATCATAAGGGGGGTACCTTCTTACTAAAATGATGAAATTTCAAATTTTTTTTTGTCGAGATTTTGGGTCTTACTGGTCCCTCGTGATACCCTGAACTCCATACACAAAATTATTCTCAGATTTGAAGCCGAAATCTATGGAAAAAGGCACTCAGAAAAATTGAAAAATTGATAAATCATCCCAATTGCTTAACACGATTTTATCTCAGGAACCATAAGTGCAAATGAGCTGAAATTTTCAGGGATTGTAGTCCTTTGAAAAGGATAAAATTCAGTGAAAGATTCAGCGTTCTATCTATAATAGAAAAAAAGTTACGACCATTGAAAGTTTTCCGAAAAAATCATAAGGGGGGTACCTTCTTACTAAAATGATGAAATTTCAAATTTTTTTTTGTCGAGATTTTGGGTCCCACTGGTCCCTCGTGATACCCTGAACTCCATACACAAAATTATTCTCAGATTTGAAGCCGAAATCTATGGAAAAAGGCACTCAGAAAAATTGAAAAATTGATAAATCATCCCAATTGCTTAACACGATTTTATCCCAGGAACTATAAGTGCAAATGAGCTGATTTTTTCAGGGATTGTAGTCCTTTGAAAATGATGAAATTCAGTGAAAGATTCAGCTTTCTATCTATAATAGAAAAAAAGTTACGACCATTGAAAGTTTTCCGAAAAAATCATAAGGGGGGTACCTTCTTACTAAAATGATGAAATTTCAAATTTTTTTTTGTCGAGATTTTGGGTCTTACTGGTCCCCTCGTGATACCCTGAACTCCATACACAAAATTATTCTCAGATTTGAAGCCGAAATCTATGGAAAAAGGCACTCAGAAAAATTGAAAAATTGATAAATCATCCCAATTGCTTAACACGATTTTATCTCAGGAACCATAAGTGCAAATGAGCTGAAATTTTCAGGGATTGTAGTCCTTTG